ATGTGGTAGGGCAGCCAGCAGACGGCAAATGTCAGCACAACCACAATCATCATTTTTACCACCTGAAAAAAGTAATAATGATATTTAGCCTTTTTTAATTTGGACTAGCATTTCAACATCTATTAATAATTTTCTTGTAATTAATTTTTAAAGTTAGTCAAAGGAAAGCTGAATATGCTTTTATATAGTTTTTCCTTTTAATCTGACTCTCTTTTCTTCTTGACTGAAGGTCCTCTTTTTCCTAAGAAAAAATAGCAAGAAAACATTTCCAGACTTTATTTGTATTGATTTTTGCAAGTAATGTATTTGCTTACTTGTATTTGGTTATCTAAAATATCACTTCTTTTTTGTACATGTAACCATGGTATAAGGTTACAGGGTGTTTTATTTGGACACCTCACTTTGGCCTTTACTGATCTTGGTGTTTATTTTTATTGTGGTCTGCAAGTCTATTTCTTGCCCCAGTTTTTAGATCTGATTTGAATAACACTAGGTTGCAGGAAATGAGCAACTGCAGCATCCTGTTTAATTTCAGAGCCTAAAAATTCCCTTGGCTGGTGATTCTTATTTGTTGTTTTCTGCAGGCACATCTGTTAGCTACCATAGTTTCCAGTAAGCACAAATGAAGAGGAGCTCTGCTTTGTGCTTCAAACTCGTGAAGAAAGCTTGCAACTCATGTAAAATTTTCATTCCCATCTTTTTCTTTTCAGCTATGTCAAATACTAGTCCAGCTACCATTTTCAGCACAATATGTCACATGTTTGCACCACAGGTGTAGCTGAAATGAAACTAGACACGATGGATCCATGCTGGGACTTCTCTTGTTCACTTATTTGTACTTGTGAATACTGAGGAATAACAGGGGTCTCTATCAACTGTTCCTTTGTTTTCTCTGTACCAAGTGCCATTTCATACTCCTTATAATTTTACCAGGGGAAAAATCCAAAGAGCTGAAATTTGCCATACTTACATGTGTTTGGTTAATGTTTTTATAAAATTCCAACTAACACAATTAAATCATTTTACATACAAGTGTTATGGTAGCTTCCTTAACTTGCATTACATCTTCCTATGTGAAACATAAAGTAATTTTTCATTTAATATCTGGCACCAATTAACAATCTTTCCTGCTGGATGGGACTGTAATGTGCAAGATTTTGCTTGTAAGAATACTTATTGTTGTTGATATATATGCACTGATCATCACTTAAAGGCAAAAAAGAGGCATCTGGCTACATATGAAACATTAATAGTAGTTGGTTCTTCTGAACCACTTTTCATCAGTTAACTATAAATCATCCTGTGATCAGGAAGCTCATTGTTATAAAGGAGGGCAACACACCAAAACATAGGATCACTTTTACCTTTTGCATGTATGTCTGTGTCTACATCTAGGCATATATAGAAGTTTATGGGACTATATATGTGATTTTTGGGGTGGGGGGGAAAGGTTATGAATTTATGTGGACAGAAATTTCTGGACTAAACTATGTATGTGAAGTAATGCATAAAAATATGTTGTCAAACAACTCTATCATTAAATGGCATTGCTATTTTGCTGCCCTTGACATAACTTCCACTGTTCTGCTGGGGACTTGCACCTCTGCCTTGCACACATTGTAGAGATAGAAGCCTTAATTCTATAGTTTTACCATGGTGCTTAAGCTCCCTGTCATTGATTTACAGGTGCCCTTTTCTTGTTGTTGTGTTTTTATAGATCTGTCAGGAATGATAAGTGTTACCTCAGCACCTTTCAGGACTTCTGTAAATTCAGAACACTTGAGAGTCTTAATAATTTGCCTTGATATTTAATTAGCAAGCCTTGCAGTACCTGTGGTGCATGTGAAATTGTTCCTAGAATTAGTCATCTCTGGAATATCATAAGTACTGAATGAAAGGATTTTTGTGTCCAAGTTTTCATAGTGTAAACAGGTAAATCTGTATTTACTATGTACATTTCATCTGTGCAGTGTTTGAGAACCAAAACAGTAGAGCTTCCCTGCAACAAATGTGGCTTAATCTGGTTGAGCACTGTGTCACTCATGCCCCAGAGATGCTAGAAATCACAGAAAGAGTCCAGGTTGCCTGTTTGGCATACTCAATTGTGTTAATTTTTTCCAAAAGAAAGTTGTCATTTTTCTGACATCCAAATGCTCATTGTTTAATTTTCTGTGATATATTGAAGGGCAAGGCAAGCAGTGCTTCCAAAGTCTACTTAAAGGTCTCCTAAAGCTAATAAACCTTCACAAGTTGTACAAGAAATAGTTTTTAGATTTCAGCTGCTGCAAAAATTAACCTTGAAGGAATGAAGTTTCAGTTTAAATTACTACTAACCAACATTTGGTTTTCTTCAAGGGACCAGAAATCCCAAACTAACTTTTCCCTGCAAAGAAAAGTCACAGTTTTTCATCTCACAATTGCAGGCAATTAAATTCTAATTTTGAATGTTTTAACTTTTTTAAAGTTTTGAAATGAAAAATGCCAAATCATCCCCAGAGAATTGCATCTTTCCCTGCAAGGTTACTCTTTTGTTTAAAACAAAATACTCATAATTTAAAAGGGTGAGATTCATATAAGTTTTTCCTGTTGCTGTTTCTGTCTGGAAATCCAATATTAAGTCATCCTCCTCCTGAAAGCAGAAATTTCTGAAGCAAATAGTCAAACTAGACAAGAAGCTACAGATGATTTTAGATGGACATTAGTGTTTGATTTAATTTGTGAAGTATCGAGTCACTTGAATGACAGTGAAACACATTACATTCTTAATCATTCAGGTTTGCATGTCATTTGAAGTATTTATATAGTACAGTGCGCTTATTGACATATTTCCTAGGAGAAGATAAGTGAGATGTTGGAAGTCCGTGTGGTGTAAAATTGTTGGAAACAGAAGGCAATTAAGGTTAAATTTGAAGTCAAATGCAGAAATTGTGAAAGGAATCAAAAAGACCTAGTCTGTTCTCTTTTCATAATCTAAGAATGACTATGTGTTGACAGAAATGGAGGGAGAAAAAAGAATCGGGAGAAGGAGGGAGATTATTCCCAATGTCCTTTTCCCTTTCAGAGAGAGGCACGCACTGCAAGGCCATACCTTGCAGTTTATAGCTGTGGTTCTTGTCTGTAATGTTGGTATTTCCAGTATAAAATTTCATTTCTTGATTATATCAATAACTGTGAACAGAAAGTGACTTCAACATCTATAAACCCAGGGCACCTTGAGTTTACTTGGAATATATTCTGATGAACAAATGCCTGTAAACCAACAGAGAAAGTAAATTAAACAGGCCCAGTATGAATTTACCACAAAAACTTGTTTGTCTTTTCCCAGTGCACTGTGATGTTTCATTAAGAAACCCCAGTGACACTTTACGAGTCCAACTGCAGGATATAAAAGAGGGCTTCAGTGCTGGGGTTGTTTTTTGACTATTTGAACCTGTGACTGAAAAAAAAAAAAGCTCATTAATAGGTCTGTTTCACTTTTTGAGATATTACTATTTTTCAGTTTCTTTTCCTTCTGTTCTGAGTTGCATATAATTCATTAGAAGGGTTTTCTCTTGTGCATTAGGAAACATTTCTAAAGCAAGAAAATGACTGAATTCAGTTGCTTAGTTTAAAATCTAGCTCTGTTCCTGCCACCATTTCACCATGGAGCTTTCCAAAACGTGAATTGCAGTCAAAATCTTTTATCCCTGTGGCACCATTTTCCCCTGGTGTTCTGTTCAATCTCCCTCTGTATGTATTGTGGGCAGCATGACTGGAGGAAAGAGGGTTTTTTTCTGTTCTAGGCAATACTTTTGTTAAATGAGATGTACTAAGTCTCCCAGTTGTGCAACCTTCATGCAAGTCTTGAGGCAAGATTTGTAAATGGCAAATCAAAGTATCTATTTTATACATTGATTTTCATCAACCAGTTCTGCTGATACTAATTCACTGCTGCCTATGTCTAAGAAAAACTATGCCTAGAAAAGAAAGTTAATTTATGTGCTTTGTAGTATTTTCCTTTAAATCTTGTCTAAGAAGCATTCTTTCATTAATGGATGTAATGAGAAAAAATATATTTAAAAGAGCAAAACTGATGTAAGTTCATTGGAATTAGAGTTTGCAAGTTTGCCCTTGCTGTGAAACACTTGGAACAGTAAAAGTGAAAAGGAACTAACAGATTCTGCTACACTTAGAAAAAGCCAGCAAGTACATTTATTTTTCCATCCTGTTTTTATTTTGCATGAAGAATAGCTAGAAGAGTACTCTGATTTCAGATGTAGCATTGAGAGCAGCTCTTGAAAGATTGGGAATAACATACTTTTCTGAGAGACTCAGTTGCTGCTGGAGGGATATAGCAATTCACATTGCAAGGCATTGATTTGCCAGCAATACCTAAGATTTGGACCAGGCAATCATTTCCTTTTCAATCTTCTCTGCAGCTCCTTATTGCCTTTCTAAGTCATCTTGGATACTGCTGCTTCTACAAGTACAGGAATTTGGCTTTTGGTTTCATTTGCACTTACATCACAGGGACCAATTTATTGCTTTCAGAACTTTTACTCCTGGGTGTTATACAGATATAAATGAGAAGCAAATTATTTAAGAACCCATGGAGAATGTCTTTGTTTACCCTCTTCTGGATATTATTTATTCATGAATACAGCTTAAACACAGTTCACTGGTAATCCCTGGAATCATAACTTTGGCCCTGTGCCCTTTTGGGAGAAGTAAAATGCCACACTAACATTTCAAAAAGTGTTTCTCCCAGCATGTTAGGATGCAGCCAGTAAATCCACTTCCCAATCCTGGGAACATACATGGCACTTATGCATGAAGCACCAGAGAAAAAGGAACGCCAGTATGCCTTTGCCTCTCCACAGTGCTTATTTGGAGTAAACTGTCTCTCTTCTGTAAGAAAGTTAGGATTCAAAGATAATTCTACAGGAAATAGTACAGAGAGGAACTGACATCTGAAGTACCGAGTGCTTTGACTCACTCAGTGATTTTCTGCATTCCTTCAGCCCATAGGAAAGGATGGATTCGTAATAGCTGAAGGAGATGCACATTTAGGAGGAGAAAGTATGAGAACACTTGGAAGTCTTTCTGCCAGGTAAGGTATTTGCCAGTTCCAGTGCTCCAGATATTTTTAGTCTTCTGACTTATGTTTTCCATCTGTTTTTCTGAGTTACTTGAAATGAAGAAACTGTTTTTTATTTCAGTTTGCATAATCCCTTGTTGCAAACATAATTCATAATAATTTACTTTTTAATTAAGCTCTAAAGTTAAAAATATATTCTCTTCTAATGTGAAGTAGTTTTTAATTAGTTTGCTTTCTTCCAAATTCCCCAATGTGGGACTCCCCTCAAACCAAAGCAATTCTGACATTTTTCATGAGTTGTCTTAGCTTTGCAAAAAAAGGGTAAATATTTTGCTCAGTTTTATTTTCCTTGAGAATGTGTGACTTTACAAGCATCTGATTGGTGGCAAGAAGGAAAAGTTTCCACAAGTTTTGTTACTTTATCTAAGAAGAGATGTCTCAGTTTCTCTCAAGAGATTGTTGGATGTTAGGCAATATGCTAATGTCCGCTACTCAGCCTAAGAGGTTTTTTCTGTAAACTGGACAACAAGTACAGGTAGGTGGCCTTCTATCATAGTCTTGGTCTTAAGCATTGGGTGGCATAAGAAGTTTGTTTTTTAGAAAACAACTCTGAGTGGTTGTTGTTGGATTGGCATTATTGGGCATGATTATCCACCTGATATCTAGGTCAGTGGAAAAAGTGGAAAAGCTGATCTAGTGCTTTTGTGCTTAAGATTCATACCACCACTTATTTTACAGTATTTTCCTTCTTTACTGGGAATGGATGATGGGGCATAATTCACTTCCATGACTCCAACCAAATGTGAGATTTGGTGTGGGGGGAAATAAAATATCTTTTTTTTTTTTTTTTGCTAGTAGGCGTAGTTAATTCTGAAGTCTGCTTTGACACAATTCTGAAAGTGTTCTGGAACCTTTAATCCCCATTGTAGGCTCAATGTTATGTTTAAATTAATTTTCCATATAAGCCTTCTGAAGGAATGGCACTGGTGAATGCTCTCTTTTGAAACTTAATCTTATATATTGGACACTTCAATAACCAACTAATGCTATGATGAATTATGCCAATGAATTATGCAAAAGTTGTGTACCATCCTACCCGTGTTTTACTTTCTGTGGGCTCCTTATAATGAAATCTGTCCTTCTGAACCCAAAATGAGATGGGCACTTTTTGTTATCTTCAGAATAGGAGCACAGACTGTAATTTTATATGGAAAGATTACTTTTTGAATAGTTTTATTTCCACCTTATTCACCTATTATTTAAATCACTTAAATAAGTTATTTAAATAATAGGTGAATTAAATAAGTGATTTAAATAATTAGAAGCCATTTGAATGTTTACCATATTTCTCTGGAATTTTGGCACAAGAAAATAGTGAGAAATAATGCAAATTGTTTACTACATAGTTTGAAAAACCTCTTTCTTCTCTTTTCTGTTGGTAAGAAAAGAACTATGAATTATTCCTGGACTGTACTTGTTTAAATTGCATGGCAAAATTCTGTGTTAGAAAAAGAGCACAGTTAAAGCTATTTTTTAGTCACTATCATAATTATGCATTTGCAGCGGTAATAGCATCTTCACTTTCAAAGTATGAAAAAAACTTTTATTACTACCTAAGAAAAAGGGCAAAAGATTTTATTACTTTTCCCCAGTCTATATTAATTTAAACTGACTTCAACAAAACTGTTAATGTCAATGGTGTTGAGATTTATATTTTGAATTTCATGCAACTAGTTTATTTTTGTCATTCTTCAAATGAATGTAAAAGGTCATGAATTTATTAGGAAAAGTAGACTTGTAACTCACATACAGAATATTTTGGAAATACATAGTCAATAAAAAGTGGTACATGCTCTGGTCAATTATTGATGAAAAGTATCAGGAATGTCGTTATCCTGACAGCATCTGCTTTTGTACAGACAAGGATAGCTTCAAGTATTAAGGTATCCACATGACTTGGCCATAATGGTCAACACATTGGTCATTACTGCACTGGTTTGATACTCCTGTGGTATCCTAATTTGTGGAATAAAGTATAAGCTGACCCGTGCCAGGGTGGCTGAAACTGTTTCCTATGAAACCTGCTTTAAAACCCGGGGAAATAAATTACTTCTATCCACCCCAGAAAATGAGTAATGAAATAAAGGTGCTTTGAATAGGTTGCACTACCGAAACTTCTGAAGAATTAATTTCTTGAGTTAAAGGATTAGATTTGTTAGCAGGAGGCATTAGTAGACATAACATAGACAGCCCTCTGTGTAGGTGAGTAGATTTCTTCTTCAACTCAGAAAAAACCTGTGCTGAAGTTATGTTTTGCTTTGATGTGAAGAGCATCCTGTAATGAATGCAGAAGTGTGTGGGTGTAATACTGGAACTGCAGTTCTGTTCTGCTGAACATACAGGTCTTGGCTCTGCAGTCCTCCAAAATGAGTGATCCGCATCGGATTTCCTGGGCTTTTCACCACACAGATGCTTGGCAGTATTGTGGAAAGCTCGGCAGACTGAAAACTCATGCTAAAATTAATTTGTTCATAACTTCCCTACAGGGACTCAATGAGAAAGAGGCTTCTTAATCATCTTATTTCTCTGTGTGTGTGTGTATATATATATATATACACATGTGTTTTTATGCACCTATGCACCCACAGGACTATTTATGTGTTCATAATTTAGGATATGGAATGGGATAACCTTGACTGCAGAGTAGATGATGCAACAAAAGCTTTTGAAGTTTTCAAGGTTTGTTTGTATGCTAGTGAAAAAATTTACACATGATTTAAAGAACGCACTTTGTCCTGAATGTGGGATTTTAAGATTATTGGTCTGGGGGGGTCAGGTCCCAAACTTGAACTTGGGGAGAACTGCACAGAGGAAGTTAAGTCTGTCTTAAAAATCCAACTCCATAGTTTGAAACATGAAGATCATAATATCCATGTTGAAAATATGAATGTTGAAAAAGAGACACTTGGCTTACATTTGTCTTTCTCATAGGTATCTTAGTTTGATTATTAACAAACATGTATATTTGAATTCAGCAATGCGTTTGAAAACATGCTGAGCTCACTGACATTGGAGTGAACATTGTTGAAATTTTTTGTCTGTTAACCTAGTATTACTTCCATTCTTAAAAATAGAAGGCATTAGTAAATAGAAATTTTTGCCCTAGGACTGTGCCTAGACTTTATATTTCACGTAAATTTTCTGTCAATAGTAACAGAAAATATAAAAATAACAAGGAGAAACATCACAGCAACTGTAAGTGCACAATTCTGAACCTAATCACTGACCATGCAGAACCAGTCTGTTAAATCTGCCCCTGGCCTGGAGGTGTTGCCAGCTCTGTTCTATAAAAAAAGCACTGACCAGAAAACTTTATTAATAAATATGTACACTGGGAAGGCTTATGCACAGAATAAAGCCAATTTTAGTATTTAATCTGCTTTTACTTATTTGTGATTGCTGCTTGAAGCATGGATGATGGGTGTGGAAAGATGTGTGTGTTCACAGTTCATAGCTGAGTTTTAGGACCTTGAGGCAATGATGGAAGCTTGTACTGCTGCTGAGTGTTCTGTAGATATTTGGAGATAGACCAGAGAAGAGCATCTTCCAATAATTTTGTTATATTTCACTGTGTCTGTCATGTTCAGAGAATGATCAGGAGGACACCTGACTTTATTTTTACCTCAATAGGAAATCTTGTTCAAAATCATGGGTAGATCATTAAAAAGAGAAAAAAATGCTAGGAAAAAAAAATCTTGAAAAGAAGAACAGGTGAACCCTTTTTTCTTGCAGTTCTAAGACCATAAAACAGCTCTGTTAAAAAATATTTTGGGTTTAACATGCAATGACAGTAATTCCCCTGCAGCTCGTGCCCCAGTTTTTCCCTAGGCAATTTCTAAGCATGTTAAGAGTGAGACTGTGAAGTAGTCTGCTTCATTAATTATTAATTATTAATAATTATTAATTAATAATTGCTTTGCTCATTAATAATTACTTTGCTCATTCCCTAAATTTTCAGTGGGTTTTCAGTCCATATGCTTGGTAATAGAAATAGTTTAACAGAACTTTTTGAAACTAAACCAAAGATTATTGGTTATTCTGCCTCATTCTTCTGGAAAAAAGGTGCCTCTCTGTGTGTATGTGTTTAGGGAGGGGGTCGTACATTGTAATTCATGTGATGATTGTGCAAGAATTAATAGTAAATGAAAAAGCCCAAATCATGCTTTCCTGTCAGTATTCTGTGTTCTTGCGGAGATTTTTGATAACTATGGGAATGTATTACTGATCAAAATATTAACAGATGTCCTATTCTGCAAGTATTTTCACCAGAAAGATACTCCTATGATATTCTGACCTTCATTACCCTTTTCATGTTTTTCTTAAACTTAGAGAAAGTAATCTTAAAAATAAGTCCTATTCTGCAAACTTCTGGCTGTAATAGCAATTACTTGCACGTAGAGACTTTGACTATAGTGCTAATAGCAATCTGGTGAGTCTGGCAGGGTATTTGTCGTTATGGTTCTGGAACAACTGCTCAAAGTGTTAGTGGAGCTCTAACATCTGCAGTTGGGTCCAATAACCTTCTTAATGGCCAGTCCTGACTCACACATGCAGAGCCATGGAGAAGAGCAGCAGGCAGGGAAAGCATCTGTGCTCTGTAGGAAGCATACACATCGTGTCACATCTCTTTGTATTGTAACCAGCTCCATCTGCCTGGTTACAAACCCAGTTTTAGGCATGTGTAGCACTTTGTGAAGTCAGGCTTAGCTTCATTAGGATTGGTTTGCATCTACCATACTAACAAGACTATTTCATACTTCCCATGAATAGTCAGAGTTAAGGACGTCATAGTAAGAGATGCCCTGAAGCAGAATGAGAGGAAACCCATCTTTAGTTATTGATGTTTGTAAGTAATTTTGCCTGTTACATTTCACTACTGAGCATGATTTGGGAAACACTTTGCACTGGAAAGGTAATATTTTTATTAGAAAGT